ATAACCTGTACAGGATCATCGCTATATAACTGTAGGTTATGTATAACTTGTATATGACCATCGCTATATAACTGTAGGTTATCTATAACCTGTACAGGATCATCGCTATATAACTGTAGGTTATCTGTAATCTGTATAGCATCATCACTACATAGCTGTAGGTTATCTATAACCTGTATAGGATCATCGCTACATAACTGTAGGTTGCTGTACCTTGTATAATGTCATCGCTACATAACTGTAAGTTATACAGCTGTATATATCCTGTACAGGATCATCGCTATACAACTGTAGATTATCTATAAACTGTACAGGATCATCGCTATACAGTTGTAGGTTATCTATAAACTGTACAGGATTATCGGTATATAACTGTAGGTTATCTATAAACTGTACAGGATCATCGCTATATAACTGTAGGTTATGTATAACCTGAATAGGACCATCGCTATATAACTGTAGGTTATGTATAACCTGTATAGGACCATCGCTATATAACTGTAGGTTATCTATAACCTGTATAGGACCATCGCTATATAACTGTAGGTTATCTATAACCTGTATAGGATCATCGCTACATAGCTGTAGGTTATCTATAACCTGTATAGGATCATCGCTACATAACTGTAGGTTGCTATAACTTGTATAATGTCATCTCTATATAACTGTACGTTATCTAAACCTGTATAGGATCATCGTTATACAATTGTACGTTATCTAAACCTGTATAGGACCATCGTTATATAATTGTATGTCATCTATAAACTGTACAGGACCATCGCTATATAACTGTACGTTATCTAAACCTGTATAGAATCATCCCTATATAACTGTGGATTTCTATAACCTGTATAATTTCATCGCTACATAACTGTAGGTTTGTATAACTTGTATAATGTCATCGCTACATAACTGTAGGTTTGTATAACTTGTATAATGTCATCGCTACATAACTGTAGGTTTCTATAACCTGTATAATGTCATCGCTATATAACTGTACGTTATCTAAACCTGTATAATGTCATCGCTACATAACTGTACGTTATCTAAACCTGTATAGGATCATCGCTATATAACTGTAGGTTTCTATAACCTGTATAGAATCATCCCTATATAACTGTAGGTTTCTATAACCTGTATAATTTCATCGCTACATAACTGTAGGTTTCTATAATCTGTATAATGTCATCGCTATATAACTGTAGGTTATGTATAACCTGTATAGAATCATCGCTATATAACTATAGATTAAGCGTACCCTCCATAGGATCATCACTTCACTAGATTAGGTGTTTGTAATAATTAACGATAAGGATATTATTGTTAAGGTGCTAGTAAACTATATTGTATTGGTGATAGTTTACTAGCACCTTAACAATGATATCCTTATCGTTAATTATTATTCAATTGTATTGATGTGAATAATAATTAACGATAAGGATATCATTGTTAAGGTGCTAGTAAACTATATTGTATTGGTGTGAATAATAATTAACGATAAGGATATCATTGTTAAGGTGCTAGTGAACTTTATATGGTAGTGGTGTGAGTAATAATTAACGATGTTGTTTCTAAAAGACTAGTATATTGCATATCAATAATTTGAAGGTGTTTCCAGTATAGACGGAAAGCTAGTTCTAAGCATAACCAATTTTACTTATATACGGCATGTTGACTGGTTAGTGTTACATGACGACGAGAACAAGAAATGACACACTTAACAATAATAATTAGAAAAACTCTTTTCGTGTGTCCTAGCAACAAATATTCTTCGAAGCTAACGACATTTAAAAAACAACTTTAATAAATTAATGTCAATAGCTTTTGTGATATTTAATAACTGTGTTTCTATAAATGTCTTTTTAAGTGTCATTTTTTTGATCTAGTTATCAGTATTATAACAAATATTTTTTATATTGGAAACACGTTATATACTTGCTACAATTAACATTAAAGACATTGTAGTTGTTACACTTGTTATATACTTGCTACAAGTAACATTATGGGCATTGTCCTTGTTACACTTGTTATATACTTGCTACAAGTAACATTAAGGACATTGTACTTGTTACACTTGTTATATAGTTGCTACAAATAACATTAAGAACATTGTAATTGTTACACTTGATGTTCAAATAGTAACACGTTATATACTTGCTATAAGTAACATTAAGGTCATTGTAATTGTTACAATTGTTATATACTTGCTACAAGTAACATTAAGGGCATTGTACTTGTTACACTTGTTATATACTTGCTATACGTTACATGAAGGACATTGTAACTGTTACACTTGATGTTCAAATAGTAACACATTATATACTTGCTATAAGTAACATTAAGATCATTGTAATTGTTACAATTGTTATATACTTGCTACAAGTAACATTAAGAACAATGTAATTTCTACACATGCTGTTTTAACAGTAGCACGTTATATACTTGCTACAAGTAACAATAAGAACAATGTAATTGTTACACTTGCTGTTTTAACATTAAGAATAGTGTAATATTTACACTTGATGTTTTAACACTAACATGTTACACACTTGCTACTACTACTAACGGCTTGTTTGTTTTTGCATGCTAAAGATAGTTGGAGTAGTGATGAACCTGCTGCAAGTTTAACCCTAATCGGTAAAACAAACCTTTAGAAATAAGAACCATTTCGACTTATCTTATCTGAAGCAGTGAGGGCTTTAAAAAATCGATGATTTCCAAAAAAAATAATTTATTGTGTAATTCTTTCGGTTCGGCTCTAGAAAAGCGAAAAATACTGTTGGTCTCAGAACTTTGTTTAAAAGTTATTAAGTGCGAGCGTCTTTAAAAACGTTGGCCTTCAAAAGAAACTGAACGGAAAAAGAATTAGCAAAGGAAAAGAAGGTTAGATATGATACGTCTCTTTGAAGAGAAGTTTCTTCTGTACGCTCTTCTCCCTAATCTAATCTAGTAAAAGCCCTTTAAAATAACTTCAAAAAGAAGTAGTTAACGGTTTGAGACTTATAGAACAACAAACGGTACTGGACTCTTTGAATGTTGTAAACAATTTTCACTTCGTTGCACGTATCATACGTTATTAACAATAATAGACTTGTTTCTAAACTTTCGATACACCGACA